ACTGCCGCCCAGTTTGCGCGGGCACACGAGGAGCACTTGACTGATTGGAGCTTGGGCAAAGCTGAAAAGTGGCAGCATGCGGTAATGGACCGCAAGCGGGCGCGAGTGACGCGCCGGGGACCCGTGGGTTCTCCGCTGCACACTGACTCAGAGTCCGACGGCTCCGCCGACATGGAGCCAGCCAAAGAAACGCTCGTGCCGCTTCGGGCCGCGCAGCAGCGTTTGGCGCCTGATGAGGACTATGTCTCTTTGTTTCCCACACCCCGCACTTTGTGTTATCAGCTGGACGACGCCGGACAGCGCTTAGTTTGTCGGCTCACGGCTGCGGACAGGGCCATCTTGTGTGAGCTCGACGTGCCTGGTGGACCAAAAGTGGCATCCGTGTGCCATCGCCGTGGCGGCCAAGGCGCTCCTGATGACCAACAACTGTCAGCTGGTGCGCGCCGCGCGCAGAAAGTGGTACCGTCGGCTGACGGACGCGTGCAACCTGCACGACCGTCACGACGGACCGCCGGAGGAAGTGCCGCCGCTTCTGGCTCAGGGCCCGCCAGAGGCAGAGGGCGACGCGACCCGTCCGGTCGTCGACGTGCAAGTCGACGTGGCAGCCAAGGTGCGCATAACGACTTTCAACATGAACCAGCATAGCCCTGACGATGAATTTGCTGCCGTGTTGCCCGAGATGGACCTTGTGTGTCTACAGGAGGTCACTCCATCGTGCTTGAGCGCCTTGCATGCCTTAGCTGCGGCCAGCGGCTTCGCAGTTAGCAGCCCGTTGCACAGGGGTCGCTGCAGCGAGGAAGGGTTCGACGTGTGCGTTCTCTGCCGCCTCGACTTCGGCCAAGTGATGCGGGCATGCGTGTCGCCCGTCGCCGGGCCCAACAGCAGGTTCATGCTACACGTGCTCGTGCAGCTAGCGGCCAACGGCGCTGTGCTGTGCGCTGCCACAGCGCACCTTACCGCGTCCAGAGCCGCCGCGGCCGCGCGCCAGCGCGAGCTGTCAGCATGCTTGGCCGGCTTGGAAGCGCTGGACGTGGATGCTTGCATCTTCGCAGGCGACTTGAACATGCGTGCAGGCGAGCGCTTGCCACGGGGCGGCTGGCTGGACGCCCACGAAGTCGCCGGCAGCCCTGCGGCCTTTGCATCCACTTGGGAGCCTTTGGACGTTGACGTCCCGGCGCATGCGGACGCAGTGTGGCGCTTTGACCGCGTTCTCTGGCTGAGGCGGCCCGCCGCGCAAAGTTCTACGCTCGCTGATGTAGATGCGAGCAACAGTGACAGCAGTTCTCGGCTTGCCGTTTCGGGCGGCCTAGGACACAGTGTGCGCGCACCTGTCGGGCCGGCGTCCCGCCAACTCGGGCTTGCCGTTTCGGGCGGCTCGAGCGAGGCCGGACCTGGGCCAGCGTCGCGCGACACCCTTGAGCTGCAGCCGCGAGATTTTGCCAGCTGCTTCATCATGCAGGGGCTGTCCGTCCACGCTGCGGTGACAGCAACCATGACTTGCTTGCCGGGCAACGTCGCCACGCGCGAGTGGGAGGAAAACCTCATCGTGTGCAGACCCGGCCTGGGTCGAGAGGTCGCCCGCCAACCAGGCGACAAGGAAAGCTGCGCCAAGCAAAGACGGTCCCACGTGTACTGCGGTAAAGACTACGAGAAGGCGCGCATGCTGCCTGGCACAGGCGCCGTCATGGAGGACGGCCGACGCAAGGGCTTGTACCGATTGTACGGCCGGCGCAACTGCCACCACCTGAACCCGCACGACCCACTGAAGGCGATGGGTCTGGTGGCTAACGTGGATGATCAGGTGGTTCTGACGGTGCAAGCTGCCGTCAACTACTTGACAAAGTACATCGGCAAGCTTGGTGGCGGGCAGTCTGCGGCCTCAAAAATGTCGTCGTACATCGACGAAATCATCTGCAAGATGCCAGATGACCAAGAGATGACCGTGGCATCGCTCTTGTCGAGGCTTTTCATCCACGCCGCAGTGCCGCAGGAGATCTCCTCCTTGGAAGCATGGCACGTGCTGCTGGATTTGCCGCGCGTGCTCTCGTCGCGCCAAGTCATGGCGCTCAACGCGAAGGACACCCAGTCCTTCAGAGACATCTCCGAGATAGAGCGCTCCAATCAGGAGGAGTCTGCTCTACGGCCTAGCAAGGTCGAAAACTACATGAGCCGCATGCGCGGCAAGCGGGACGAGGCACTGCGCGCGGAAGATTTGCAGCGCATGTCGCTCCGCCGCAAGCCGTGCATCGTGAAGGAAAAGCCGCTCTTGCAGTTGGACGCGCGGCGTCGGGACGCTGCAGCCATGGCGCGCTTGTGCTTGCGTCTCCACCGCCCCTTTTCCGGCGCCGCGGAGGATCCCATGCATCTGGCGGAGGCCGAGGCAGTGCAGCAGTTGCAGGACTTCGTGTGCTCGTCCAAGTGTCCGCGGTGGCTGCGAAAGCGGTACATGAAGCACAACCGCCAGCGACCGCACAGGGTCGCAGAGACACCCGTCTCAGCGTGCGTGCCGGAGCACGAGCAGCCAGCCGTGGTTGCCGACGCGGGGCCTGCCACCGCGGGCGGCCCCGCTGCGTCACCTGGTTCGCGGCTTGCCGCTTCGGGCGGCCCCGAACGGGCAGGGACTTGCCGCCTCGGGCGGCCCCGCTGTGTCAGCAGGCTCGCGGCTTGCCGCTTTGGGCGGCCCCGAGCCGGCAGGCGCGCAGGATAAGCACGCAGCGGCCGAGCAGCAAGACGCGCAGACGGAGCCACGGCTTGCCGTATCGGGCGGCCTGGCCAACAGCGCCGAGCGGCCACACTTCGCAGCCTTGGTTTCTTGTCCTGAAGAGATGCAGTGGCTCGCCGCACGTCACGTCTTGCTCTGGACGACGCGAGCCGGCGACATGCGCTACTTGGAATCCTCGCTGCGTTATAAGGACATAGGCAAGATAGGGTGGAATATAAGTGTGTTACGAAATGGTTATAAGTGTATGTTAATACTATACTAAGTATGTATTAAGTCTGTAGAACTATGGTTAAAAGATGAGATGTGTTATGTCATGTTATGTAATAAAATTAGTTTTTTAGCTAAGTAAGTTAAGTCCGCTAACTAGTTGTTATTTTTTTAACTTTTTAACTAAGGTTTTACATATGCGTTTTTCTACATGTTTACATGGCATTTCTGGAGAACAGTAATGGCTTTTTCGGAACAGTAGACTTGCTTTTGTGGCCAGCACGAAACGTTTTTCTACATGTTTACATGGCATTTCTGGAGAACAGTAATGGCTTTTTCGGAACAGTAGACTTGCTTTTGTGGCCAGCACGAAAAGCTTTCTGTATACATATATTTCTGCATGCGCCCAACTTTTTGCGAAGTTTTTTTGAGCGAACGTGGAGAGATTTTGTTGGAACTCCAAGGGCAGGTTTGGGCATGAGCTTCCTAACCATGCCAAAACCAAAGACCAAGCCAATGTATTTCTCAGCCCGAAATCATGTTGGCCTGGAAGTGCCAGACCGCCACGTGGCTTGGAAGTTGACATTCAGACAGGAACATGCCAGGTGTGTTGTGAGAATCCATTTTTTCTTGGCGAGGTTTCCAAGCTCAAGCGAACGAATCCACTGTGCCCCTTCTTCCTAGAAGCCATGGTCACCGTCGACTCGCAGGTGATTCTGAAATACCAGAACGAGCCATTTGTGACCATTCCAGAGTACCTCATCCACAAAGGAGCAGATGGCCAGAAGTATCTCCAAATGAGGGCCAGCTCCCTGCCCATTGTCCAATTCTTGACAGGGGCCAAGAATCCATCCAGGGCTTCTCTGACATTCTACGAACCATTCCAGAAGCTTGTTGAGAAGCGAAATGAGCAGCTGGATCGCCATCATGCCATGGGAGGCCAAGAGGACCAGGGCGACGGCGACAACCTCTTCGAAGACCAAGACCGCCCCAAAGCCAGCAGGCGGAAAATCCAGAACTTGCCAGAGACGGTGAACATCTATGTGGGCAACACCACTGTGCCATGTCTCATCCCTCCTGACAAGAGCCGTCCCAAAGCTGCGGATATAGCAGTCCCACTGGATTCCAACATTCTCTGCGCCATCGTGGACCATATTCGGGCCAATGTTGCTGCTTTGCAAGCCCACATGGAGTCAGGGCCCAAGAGGAAGAGGGCCAAGAAGAGCCAGTAGCCTGCCGACCGCTGCAGCTGCGACCGCTTGGGTTTCAAAAAAAGCGGCAGTGCGAGTTCGTCCCTCATGCCCATGAGAGTAAGAGGGAGGATTTGTGCACACTTCAAGTTTCTCCCTTCTATGTAGGCTTTGGCCCCAGACTGCCCAGTTGCGGCTTCGCCACTTTGGCCTGCACCACTCGCCATGGCCGGAGTGCCAGACAAGGTTGTCCAGGAAGTGGAGGCTGTGATGGGTTCCACAGCCCCAGTCAACTCCAAGGTTGACACCATCGTGCAGCTTCTGCGAGCCCATGGGTTCCCAGAGAACAGGGGGAAAAGCATGGTATGCTTTCATGATGTTTGGTCCAAAGGGACCCAGATGTGTTCCGTGGGATTCCAGAAGAAGCTCTTAGACGGCCAGACAATCTGTACCCAACTGGCCACTGCCGAGACCAAGAGGCTTGCCCAGGTGCAGGCCAACCGCCAACTTGTCTCGGAAGCCAAGGGGCACCTCGCACCAGTCTCCGGCCAAGAAGGCCCCTGGGTAGTGCACGCTTTGCTTTTAGTGCTTTTCTTTTTGTGCTTGAAGAGAATACGAGATTTGTGGTTGCAGGGGTTCCTTCAACGGCAGGCTTTCTCAGCCTTGCGGGGAGCCACAGCGTCGCCTTCCTCCGCTGCCTGCAAAACGGCATCCAAGGACCCGAGGGGTACCACTGCTCCACAGCGAAGTCCGACCCCGCCTGGCAAGCAATCGAGCAAGGATGGTGCTGGGTCGTTCTGGCAGCATCCATTGAAGAAGCCATCCCACAATTCCCAACTTTATACAGATGGCGGCCAACTCGTCCAACTCAATCTCCAAAGCGATCAACGAGTTGGAGGTGGCACTCCATGTCGCCACTGCTTTTGAGAAGGGCTTGTCTCTTCCAGATGCCATCCAGCAGGCCAGCCAAGGCGACGTGCGATGCCGTGCGAGTGTCCCCGCCATCGCCAAATTTGTCCAAAACTTCGGCGGCGGCTCCCAAGGGTTCCCACTGTTGCATTTCCTTGCCAATTTTTCCAAACAGTTCAATGCAACTCTCCTCGTCGGCACGGAGCTTATGTCCACCCTCGCCACGCTGGACTTCCGCCAGGCCACTTGCATATTTCCCATGATCAGGGTTGCCTGTTGGGCCTGCATGCTGACATCGCCGAGGGCACAAGATGGATTCAGCCGGATCCTGACGGTCAACGACCTCCCAAAGCTCAAGTCGCCAGGGGTGATTGCCCAAGTGATCCAGGCTGAGGAGATGCTCCAGGACTCATGGAAACTCCAGCAAAGTTTGCTGGGCGGCCAGCAGCACCATTCGGCCCACTTAACCAAGTGCTTTGGCCGATTTGCAGTGAGAGTTTGTTTGTTCCTGACGAACAAACAAAAGCAAAGTCGGGAGAAAAACCACTGGCTATCTCTCCAAGCCATCTTGACTGCTTACACGAAGGAAATCCATGACCCCTCGGGGGCAGATGCCAGCAGTGCGGACCAGGCCAAGACCCAGACGGACATGCAGGTCACGGATGTCTTGGCGGCCAGCCACAAGACCATAGCCATGCTCCAAAACCATCATATGGAATTGGGCAAGTTGTTGCTTGGAGAGGAAGCTAGCAGTTGCTGATTGAAGCCAGAGGCGATGTATACACTTATTAAGAGTATACATATGAGCATGTATCGATGTATATGAGTATTCTCCTTGATGTGCACATGGCATGAAGTGCTAAGGTATACCAACAAGGACCACGGCGCCAAGGTCTTCGAGTTGACCGACATGACAGACGACCATGCCACCATGACTCACAAGCCGCTCTTCCATGACCAGGAAGAAGTCCACGTGCCTTTGCAGAAGCTGCCAACGTGGAAGGCCACCAAGGCCCTCATGCCCATGTTGTGCCCAGAGGAACTTGCCAGGGAAGGCATGACGGCGAAGATTCTGTTGGAGGAGCGGGCCAGGTCAGAGGTCCAGCTCGCTCTCCACAAAGCGGCGGAAAGGCACCATCTGGATGCACAGACCATCGCTTTCGGTCAGAACCCCCAAGGGTTGTTGGCGACCAAGGCAATTCGCAAAACAATTCGTTTGGTTCCACTGGGCATGGTGAACAAAGCCAAGCCGACCACGAAGGAGACCAAGCTTCTCATCGAGCATGGCGGGCACACCTGGACGATTGGGCCATTCCGCCAGAATCTCCAGTTCGAAGCAGACAGCCCAGCTTGCTTGATTCCATTTTTCTGGTGCAAGCCCACCAGCGAGCCCTCCGAGGTCACCATGGTGTACTCCACGGTCGTCGAGTCTGGGATTACCATCCCCTGCTTGGAGAACCCAGCTCCGCTGGAGCCGCGACAGCAGCTGCTGTTCCTGGCCGCCCATGCTGAGGCTTCCGAAGCAGACCATGGCGAGGCATCCGGAGCGGCGGAGCCATCAGAGGCGACCCCTAAAGCCAAAGCCAAGAACAAGGCCAAGGCCAAAGAGCAGTCGGAGCCTCCGTCCAAGAAGCCCAAGAAGTGAAGAGCCTCTGCAGCCCCAAGGGAGCGGGCTCCACTTGTAAAGAGCCAAAGACCATGGCGGGTTTTGAAGCGAGCCGCCAGAGTTTTGCTGGAGAAGAAATCATAGTTAAGGGGTGCGCCGCGGGGGGGGGGGGGCAGTTTGCACGCGCGTACCACGTGGCCTTTCCACGCAGCCGTAAAATTGAATTTGTAGTGTCTATACAACAGCTGTTTGCCAGAAGAGCAGAGGCTGTCCAGAAAAAGCCACACTCACGACCACACCCACACTCACGACCAAGCACACCACCCACACACCCCACAACACCACCCACACACACCCACACACACCCCCACACTCACCACACACACACCAACACCACACACACAAACCAACACCACAAAGGAAAGGAAAGCAAGGAACAGCAAGGAAAGCAAGGGAAAGAAAGGCAAGAAGCACAAGAAAGAGCAAGGGAAGCTTCGAAGGAAGGCAGAAGCAGCAAGGAGAAGCAAGGAAGGAAGGCAAGAAACAGCAAGAAAGGCAAGAAGCACAAGAAAGAGCAAGGGAAGCTTCGAAGGAAGGCAGAAGCAGCAAGGAGAAGCAAGGAAAGAAGGCAAGAAACAGCAATGAAAAAGGCAAGTGAAGGACGGTGAGAAACAACAAGAAACAGCAAGAGAAAGTGAGGGACGAAAGGTAAGAAACAACAAGAGAAAGCAAGGGAGGAAGGTAAGAAGCATCAAGAAGCAGCAAAGAAAAGAAGGAAAGAAAGCAAGAAAGCAGCAAGGGAACCAAAGAGAAAGCAAAAAGAAACAAGAGCGAAAGAATGGAAAGTGTAAAGGAAGGTGCAACCGTGGCAAAAGTACAAGTTTTGCAAATGTGTGCAAGCTGACCGCTGCACTGGTTTCCATCATTTTTCAAGCTTTTCAAGAAAGTAATCCATACTCTGCAAGGTTGTTTTTTTTAATTATTATTTTTTTTGGCAGTTTAAACTGCCAGAACTTCTTCCAGCTTCCATCTGAAATAGCCAAAATTCAGCAAAATTCAGGTCAAAAAAATCCCACTCAAAAATGGAGCCTCCTCCCCCAAGCCAGAAGCTTTTCCCAGGCCAAACAACCATCCAAAAGGAAGGTTTACAGTCCAAAATGCTTGCGCAATTTCTTTCTGAATTGCCAATGTGGCCGTGTTTTTGTCGCTCTGGCCATGATGGCTGTAGGCTTAATTTTTGAATGTAGGGAGAAAGAGAGAGAGAGAGAGAGAGAGAGAGAGAGAGAGAGAGAGAGAGAGAGAGAGAGAGAGAGAGAGAGAGAGAGAGAGAGAAAGAGCGGGCAAGATTGCATGACATGCCTGAAGCAGTGCTTGCGCGTATGTCGCAGCTTCCAGCGCCCAAACCTGGCCAGCTCTTTCGCCACCCAAGTCCTTGCCAGCATGGCTCCCAAGGCCCGCTTATGGTTTCGATTTGGCTTCTGCTTTTTTTTGTAGGGTTTAATGACCCTGCAGGTGACCAGCCATGTGCAGAAGGCCATCCAGAAGAAGCCGGCCGCCCAGTCCTCCAAGAAACCGGCCACGACCAAGAAGCCAGCGGCAGCCAAGGACAAGACCAAGCCGCCGACCCAGGACGAGCCTGGCGAGCACCCCTGGGCGGGGCACCTGTTCCTTGGGTGTACCGCCCAGGGGTGCAATTCCTGGATCTTCATGCACCGGCTTTATTCCAAAGTGGCTTGCGCCCACTGTGGGAAGAGCTGGTGGTCCAGCTATGTGGACCATGGCTACCACTTTGGCTGGCGATGATCGCGAAGCTTGAAGGAGAGGTGAGAAAAAAAGAAGGGGTCCTCTTCCGAAGCCAGAAGGCCCAGCGAGATTCCAACAGGCTGCAGGACTCCAAACCAAAGACCCCAAGCCTCCAAGCCCAGTTAACCAAAGCTTGCCACAATCTCTGCCAGGGTTTCGCCTTTTATGGCTAGCCATTTTTTCATGTGCATGTCTGTATATTTGCAGATAGAGATATATTTTTAGGGTTTAGGGGTTAGGCTTGTTTTTTTAAGGGGTTAGGGGCTTAGGGTTTATAGGGTATAATAAAATATATATGTGTATATATATACACATGCATATATATATATATATACACACATACATACATACATACATACATACATACATACATACATACATACATACATACACACATGCATACTTCTCAAATACTGTTTATGCACACATATGTGTATATATAGTTATATACATGTATATGAACTTGAACCTATACATACGACAAATACGTACCGATGTACACACATAGAGACACACCTATATGCGTACACAGAGACATATATATATAAACGTGCATATACGTACATGCATACATACATTACTTTGTTAATTCTGTTTATGCTGTTGTATTTTCCGTGGCAGTTTCATGTTGCCGAGTTTTGCTGCCACAAGAACTCAAGCGCCCCTCTGGCCTGCTCTTCTTTTGCTCGCAGCCAAACCATGGCTGCAGCCGCCAAGAGCAGGGCACCACCAGCTGTGCCAAGCAAAGCTCCACCACCAGTGAGGGCTTGGCTTGCAGGTGGAGGCCCTGGAGGCCATGGGACTCCAGCTGCTGGGAGTCCACTTCTTCCGGGGAGTTGGGACAGCCACCTCGCCCATGCGACAGGGTGGACTGTCCCACCAGGCCTTCCCATCCAAAGCTCGGAAGGCATGATTTGGTATGCTCCAGGGCCAGAGGTTGTCCCCAACTACCAGTACCCAGAGGTGGGGCACTGGTGCTGGCTACAGTGCACCAGATGCATGGCCACAGGGCTAGACCTGAAATGTTTAGCCCAGGCAAGGCGGTGCCCCAGCTGTGGGCAAAGTTGGCTCCAGAGCATGCCCATGGGGTTGAGGTTGCAGCCACCATATGCTGACCCACAGCCACCGCACACCCAAAGCCCATCTGACAACGATGAGGAGGAGCCTGACCCAACTTGGCCACTGTGGGCCCTCTTGTACGAACAGCCCTTTGAGGCCACCGAAGCCCACGACCCGGAGCAGCCCACGGATGCCCACGACCCGGAGGAGCCCACGGATGCCCAGGACGAGTTCCACGACGACGTCTTCCAGGAGGACCTGGCATCCACCTGAGCCCATGCCATGGCGGCCACTCTTCCATGTGAGCACTAGCATCTTCCATCGATGCTTGGACCGAGAAAATTTGTGTGTGTTTCTGTGTCTGGGTTCTTCGCTAGAGAGTTTCCGGCTTATAGTTTTCAGGTACACATGAAATAAGATTGTATAGAGCTTGTTTGGTGTGCACAGTGACAAAAGCATGAGTACCGAGGTTTTCATAGGTGTTGGTTGTTTGTTTGTATCCTATAAACTCGATAAACCCTTATAAACCCCTTATAGCCTTAAGTCCCTATAAAGTCTATAAACCCTTATAAACCTCCTAAACCCTAAATCCCTATAAACTCTATAAACCCTTATCAACCCGTATAAGCCCTATACATGTACACATATACATATACACACATATACATACATACACACATATATCTATATATATACATAGAAACCTCTCTGTAGCTTTCCTAGAACATAGCGATATAGTCAAAGTTCCAGTAAGATATATATATATATGTATATAGATATATACATATATATATATAAATGAACCAATATATATAAATATATACACACAAGTCAACTGGTACTTATACACACTCTTTGCCAGAATGGCTAGCACCAATTGCTAGGATGGCTAGGATTTTCATCGAAAGCCATCATGGCCAGCTTGTTTTTTTTGTAATCCATATATTGAAGAGCCGTCCTGGCCAGCTTGTTTTTGTTTGTATCCATATATCGAAAGCTATCATGGCCAGCTTGTTTTTGTTTATCCACATATATTTTTTTAGGAGAGCCATCATGGCCAGCCAGCCATTCACCCCAGAACCTAACAGGCCCCAACCCATAAGATGCATCATTGAGCCAAGCCTTGGGCGTCCAACATGTACAGAAGTGCATGTGCCAGCTGCCACGACAGAGTCACGAGTATAGCAGTCATTGCAGCCCATGAATGGATTCATTTTGTATCCCGCGCTCGCCCACACCAGTGGATCATTGAGGCACGAAGCAGCATCCACACACCATGAACACAAACACATGTCCCAAACATATATGATTGCAAATGCAACCCCGGGTACTAGAGTTCGGCACTTGGGATTGCATTTACAATCCCAAGTGCTAGATGGTTACACTTGGGATTGCAATTACGATCCCAAGTGCCACACGTCTGCACTTGGGATTGTAATTACTATCCCAAGTGTGCTTACTATTGTTGAGGAATATCGTGTTAAGTATTCGCCCATAAGTCCACACACCTGCAATTTCGAGTCTGCTTCACCCTCCGCCATGGACGAGGATGATAACGAAACCATCGTTCCGACCAGTCCGCCCAGCAACCCTCAGAGTCCCAGGAGCGATGGCTCCAATGTGACCGTGATCCCATGTGAGCGGCCCAAGGCGAAGCCCAGGACTGGAACCACACATGAGCAGCGACCATCATTTCCGTGGCCATGTCCATCCGACTGGTGTCGGCCAGCTGCTCCAGCGTTTCTACCATTGCCGCAACCTTCCTATGGGCCGCTACCATATGGGCCAATGGCACCACCACCATTAGCACCACCTTTGGTGCCACGTGGACCCATGCCGCCGTTCCTGTCACTTGGACCCACGGCACCGCATTTGGTTCCACCTGGGCCCACTTTGCAGCCACCCGGAACCACGGCTCCGCTTTTGTTCCCACCAATGGTGGTGCCTTCCATGGAGCCCATGACTGGACCATATGGGTTTTTGCCGCGGCAGCAGCCACTACAGCAACAGCCAATGCCACAGCAGCCAAACCCGCAAGCATGGCAAGAAGGCCCATGTGCACAGGCAGCACCACCAACGCAACAGCAAGGCAATGAGTTGCCAAAGCAGAGGGCAGCCAGCCCAGCAGCCCAAATCAAGGAAAACCAACAGCAGCCATCCCAGCCAGCCGAGCAAACAGCACCAACAGCCGAAGCCCAGCCACCCTGGCGGCGAGAAGCGGCACCACTGCCACCACCACCACAGCAGCAGCAGGACCCAGGCAGCGGAGCAGGCAACACCACAGCCACAGGCAGGAGAACCAATCCACCACTGGGCCCCATCAGCAAAGCCCAAGTTTTTGAGGGCAAAGGCAAGGGCTCCAACATCCCAGCCGCATTCCGAGCCCAAGCAGTCCGCCCCAAAGTCGTGCCGCCACCTTCCAGGCAGGCCAAAGCAGCGGCAGCACGGGTCGTGCCGCCACCTTCCAGGCACGCCAAAGCAGCGGCAGCACAGGAGGAGCACAAAGCACCGGCACCACAGCAGGAGCCCACCACACAGGCCAAAGCAGCGGCAGCACAGGAGGAGCCCAAAGCACGGGCACCACAGCAGGAGCCCAGCTCCTCCTAAGACCCATGGGCTTTCCAAGGACCGCCGCCCAAGCTCCAGCCACAAGAACCAATCCACCCACCACCCGGATGGCAGGAACGACAAACAGCGCCAAAGCGCGCCCAACCAGCACCAGCCGCTGCTGCTCCACCCAGTGGCCCGGAGCGGCGGGTGGACATGCCGTTCCGGGCCACTGGGTGGAAGAACAAGTGTTGCTGGCTGTTAGCAAATTATCAAGCTGCCCAATGGAGCCAATGTCTCTCCATGTCCACCACATACATGGAAGAGCTCCGCCAGCAAGACCCGCCATTTTGGGTGGCTGGGAAGCCCACTTGGGCCCAGAAGACATGGTGGTTCTGCGAGCACTACCAGAACCAGAACTTCCAGCGATGCCAACGGCTCCTGGACTGGCCCCATGGAGCCAATGATTTTTTCCAGAAACCATATAGCTCCGGATCTTTCTTTCTTTATACATCAAAGCTCACATATAATATAGATGGGAAAGCCTCTGTAGTGTTTCTAGGCATAGGCCTAGATGCCAGGAAACCCAGTAAAGTTGTTTTTTCCCGCCGCCCCAGCACTCTCCATCAAGGTACTCCAAAGAAACCCAGATGGCCCAGTACTTGGCTGAGCACTCCATGGTGGTGGAGGAGCACGGCCATGACCCACGCCAGCCAGACCGGTTCAGGCAGCTCCAGTAAAACACCAGGGGTCCGGCATTCAGCCATGCATGCACCTTGTCCGTGTATTGTATTCGCCATTGTTGTGGCCAGCACCAACAACACAATAAAGCCCCGTGGCTAGCCAAGGGTATTCTATTTTTTCTGTATACCAATGGATACACATATAGATGTTAATATATATATATATCTTCTTGCTTATATTCAGTTATCTACAAAGACATTTCAAAAAAGATATCTTTGAGATTGTTTACGTCTATCTATATACATATATATGTGTATACCCATGCATGTATATATATATATATATATATATTGTTAATTTTGTGTTTCAACTACAATTTTTGTAGCTAGATTGTTTGTTTGTATACTACTTGGTATTTTCTCAATGTACGAGTATTTTACATGGTATATACATATATGTGTCTCTACGTTTACACATGTTAGAGCTTCACGTTTTTTGCCATACATCCAGGCAAGTTTGGCTTGCACAATGTATTTGTGTACAATCAAGAATCCTTTTTTTCCTATGCATATGGGTTTCTCTTGCTGTCCATTAATACATACACAGCTAGACATACATATATATATATATATACATATCTATGTCTATATACATACATATATGTACAATATATGTCTTCTCTCTGCATGTGTATCTGTGTATGTATGTGCTTTCTTTGCCACCCTCGCAGCCATTGTGGCCGGCACGTGTTTCTTCCGCCCCCATTTCCATTTGTCTGCCACACGTGCTGCCATGTCCCATGTGTGGAGCATTTCTGATTTCATTTCGGAACTTCGGCATCTTGGCCAACTGGCCAAGATGCGGCCAGGGAGCATGGTCGTGACTACCATGGCTGCCACGTTCGTTGAAAGGATCCGTGCAGCCAAGCATTGGACGTCGGCCGCCATCGTCGAATTGCTCGGTGAGGTCCAAAGCTGTGAGCTGCCAGAAGCCATCAAGGACAGCATCCAGGAGGCAGTCGAGCAGCTCCAGAGCAACGAAGCTTCCCACATGAAGCTATCCTGCAGTGGCCAACGAGTTGTTCATGTTCCAGCCTACCTCACCCAGCAGGATTGGTCGTCTGTGGAAGCCGCCACATCGAAAGACGATCAGATGTCCATCATTGCCAAGCGGCTCAGGGCCATGGGGCTTACATCCCTCAAAGAAAACACCACCCATCAGGTGTTGGCCACTCTGTTGTATGTGCAGCACAGCCAAGGGAAGCCGGAGATGCACCCCAGAGCTGTGCATGCCATGGTGGAGGATTTCTCTGCCATCTTCCATGGCACACCCAAGATTGAGGGTGTGCTGGGTTTGGCAGTATATGCGGAGTATCCGCAACAGAATGGCCAAGCATGGTTGAGCCAAGCCTATACCGAGGGCACCACCCCAGCCGCTCGGATTCTTCCACTGCATGCCTGGTTCAGAAAGGTACCCATGCGGAAAAACCATTCTTTGCTGCAGAGCGGGCAGTCCTGCCAGGGATCTGGCCGTTCCAAGGATGACAGTATGGCAGAAGCTGCCCGTCTGCTGACCCAGCTGGCGGAGCGATGGAATACTCCAAAGCCAGAGCCACAAGTCACCTTGTTGCATCCTCGTCAGGACCGGCTGGCGCTGCAGAACCTGCCAACACCGCAGCAGCAACCACTGCAGCAGCCATCGCCGCTGCTACAGCAGCAGGAACAAGCAGTGCAGCAGCAGGCACTGCAGCTGCAGCAAGCACCACTGCAGCAAGCACCACTGCAGCAGGAGCCGTCCTTGCAGCAGAAACAAGCACCACTGCAGCCAGCGGCACTGCAGCAGCCAGCGGCCCCGACTTCCGCTACGGCCCAGCCAGGCAGCCAAGCAGCAGCGCAGCCTTTGCTCGCCACAAGTCCAGAAGTGTCTACGGAGAAGCCAAGTTCCCAGCCAAAGACCTTGGAGGACTTTGAGGCCCAGACATTCCTGGAAATCAAGAAGAAGAAGCGCCACGCCAAAGCCAAGGGCGAGCCAAAGGCAAAAGCCAAAGCGAAGGCCAAGGCCAAGGCCAAGGCCAAGGCCAAGGCCACTGCCAAGCCTCAGGAGACTCCCAAGGCAACAGCGACCGCCAAGGCCAAGCCGGTGCCCAAGGTCACGGCCCAGACAACTCCGCCGCACAAGCGGAAGCCACCCGTGTATGGGTGCCCCAAGTGCCGAGGCAACCCTAACGGGTGCGGGCAATGTCTGGATCCCAATTACCAAGGCTTCAGACTTCCAGGCCGTGAGGCCTATAGGGCCCATATGGCCCGGCGAGCCATGATGGCCCAGTGAGTCCATGAGTCCGACCAGTTCCAGGGCCACTTGCGGAGACAACCAGTCTCACCATAATTTGCCATTTTGGCCGACCAGATCCGGGGACTTCGACACGGGGCTTGCAGTGGGGGCAAAAGATTCTCCCAAGTTGTTTGCTTTGCAATTAATTCATCTCTCTCTCTCTCTCCCTCCGTCTCTCTTTCTTTCTCAGTCTTATTCTCGAGACGACTGCTTCTCTTCCTTTTTTTTTCGATCGCACTCTCTCTGTCGTGCTTCTCTTTTCCTACCTTCTGGCTCTCTCTCTCTCTCTCTCTCTCTCACTCTCACTCTCACTCTCTCTCTCTCTCTCTCTCTCTCTCTCTCTCTCTCTCTTTCTATAGTGTCTCTGTATAGAGACACAGATGTACATGCTTAAAGCAGCTGTATATCCGAACGTCTGTCTCTCTCCCTTTCTCTCTCTCTCTCTCTCTCTCTCTCTCTTTCTCTCTCTCTCTCTCGCTCTCTCTCTCTCTCTCTCTCTATGTCTCTCTCTCTATATATATATATATATATTCTGTTGCGGTTTTTTGGCTGCTCCAAGAACTTTTGGTTTTCTTCGAACGTATGAATGAATATATATATATATATATTCATATGATGAATATATATATATGCATCTAGCATGATTTTTGCATGTGTGCAATGTTCTATGCAGGATATAAATATGAATGCCGGAGTGGCTGCCCACTTCTTCTTTTTGCTTCAAGATGTTTTTGCATGTGTTGAACTTCATATATGTAGCAGCTGTCTATATGTAACAGAAAGTCGTGAGAAGGGTGCAAGACCCATGCGACGCCTCCATGGCTTGCAAGGTTTCTGGCTAGCAGGCGACAAATGCCATATTGATGTCTGTCCTGACAGCTCTGAGCATGCCCCTGTGCTTTTTGATATCGCATGACTTTCATCCTGCAGACTTGTTGCTCCCAGCAAGAAGCACCAGAGGCAATGCATATAGAGAGCATGGTGCCCGGAATAGAATCACGTCCACAGCTACTGTGGCCCGCTTGAAGGCTTCCAAGTGAGAACGTGCAGAGCAGATCAATTAGGTATATAGTAGATCCATAAGAGCCACTGTCCTGAAGCCCGTGGTGACCATGGAGTCCTCCAAGAAGAAAGCCAAACTTCAACACCTTCTGAAGTTCAAGGCCAGCTTGCCAGGGCATTCTCAAAGTGCTTTGGCGGCCTTCGTCCAAGCCACGAAAGAGCAGGGCCTCCCGGAAGCCAGTTCTTCCAACGACCAGCGAAAGGCACGGCAGCAGCTTCTTGAGTGCTGCCACGGCGGCCCCATGGGACCTTTGATCCAGCAAGCAGAACTGCCCATCAGCGACGGTGCCACAGTGACCATCCATTTTGCGAATCTTTTGGTCTATATCACCAGTCTTTTCCACCTGGGTGGCAGCTTCCATGATCTGGTCCAGAGGAAACACCAGTCCAATCCATCTTCGGTCGACAAGCCATGGTCGCTGATGCTGTACTGCGATGAGCTGGTGCCTGGTAACGTCTTAGGTCGTGCTGAGCGCAAGCTCTGGGCGATTTACGGCACGTTCCACGAGCTAGGCCAGGAGGCGTTGTCCCATGAGGACGTCTGGCTTACCATCAGCCTAGAACGCTCCACATTCGTGGCCCAACTGCCTGGGGGGATCGGCCAGATTTTTGCGAAGGTCCTGGAGGCCATATTTTGCAGCCCCATTGCAGAACCACGAGGCGGCCTGCTCTTGAAAAGCCCATGTGGACCCAACATTCGTCTCCATTTCATTTGGGGGATTTGCTTGGCGGATGGAGCCGCCCACAAACAGGTGTGGGCCTCCAAGGGGGATGCAGGAACCAAATTCTGCTTGCTCTGTGCCAATGTGCACTCAGCAGCAACCATGACTCCAGGCGAGGATGTCATTGACCATGGGACGGCCAAATACCACCAACTGAAGTTAACCACCGACGATGACGTCATCCAATCCTACCATCGCTTGGACCAACGCCAGAGAACATGCAGCAAGGCGGACTTCAGCCACTGGCAGCAGGCCGCAGGGTGGACGTGGAATGCCCATGCCCTTCTGTTACACCAGCCACTGTTGTCCAGAGGCCAGATCCGACCAGTGAGCCAGTTTTGCCACGATTGGATGCATGGGATCTTGCAAGGCACTGGCCCTGTCGTCCTCTTCCAAACCATGCAGACCATTGGCAGTGCACTGGGTTACAGTGCTTGGGCTTCCATGGAAAAATATGTCCAGCTCTGGTCCTGTCCAGGGGCTTCGAAAGCAGGGCACCTACCAGCCTTGTTTTCCAACAAGATGGTGACCAAACACCAGGCAAGCAATAAGTTCTCCTGCCAGGCCAGCGACCTCTTGAGCATATCCCCCATTGTGCGGCATTATCTCCACACCATCATTATTCCGGCGGGCGGCTGCCCCAAAGCCTGCCAGGCGTTCTTGGCCCACGCAGATCTGCATGACCAGGTGCACCAAGGAACCATGTATGGGGCCACAACCAGGGCCAGCCTGCTGCCAGCTGCGGAGTTTGCCATCGAGAGCTTCCAGGAGGCCGACTTCGGGGTCCCATTGATGAAGAAATGGCATTGGCTACTCCATCTGGCAGATTTCTTGCAGAGACATGGGACATTGCCATCCACATTCACCACAGAGCGGAAGCACAAGACAATTGGCAAGTATGCCACCAATTTGCAGAAGACAACTGCTTTCGAAAGCCATTTGATGCAGCAGGTCGTGGCCATGGAGATCACCACTCTGAAGGAGCCAGGTTTGTTTCCGGACAGCTGCCAGCTCATAAAGCCAAAGAAAGCCACCAAGCAGCAACTCCAAGTCCTCCGCCATTTTGTGGATGGCCCAGCAAATGAAGCCATGGTTGCTTCGAGTGCGAAGCTCGCCAGAGGTGGCACCATTCATGCCCACGACGTGGTGGTCTTCCACCAGCAAGACGGACGTTGGGAACTCGGCCAAGTCTGCCTCCATTTGGAATTGGGTGCACAGAAGCTCACACTTCTCCAACGGTGGACTCCCACGGTGGACAAAGCATCCCACTCTGCGAAATGCACCATCACGAACGAGCAAGGCTTCGTTCCCATCGATTCCATCCAGTACCCACTGCTGTATAGCAAAGGATCAGACCAAGAGGCCACAGTGCTCATCCCGTACCAGCTATACAGCAGTCTGTGAAACAATGATGCTTCACCCGAAAGGGTTCTTGGGAATTTAGGGTTTAGAATCTCAGCTCATGCCTTCATGGCTGGTGTATTTGAAACAGTTTAGACCATGACATGGCCATCCTTTTTTCAATAGGACATCCATTACACTGCCTATATGGCCAGCTATACTTTCGGCATGATAATCCATGAGAAAGCCTTTTTGGCCAGCCCATTTCTAGAGCGTTCCCATACTTAAGCCCTTTCCCGGCCATGTGTTTACACTGAATATGTGCCAGGAAAACCACACCGAAAAGCACACTTATAACTAGTTATATCTAGTTAGCTAACTCCACCTAACTAGTTGTAAAAAAATACTTAACTCATGTTAACCAAGATAACTAGTTATAACACAGCGAGGATTCCAAGTACAGCGTCGAGCAGTGCCTGAAGGACCACCGTCCGCCGCCCAGAGTGCAGCAGATGCGAGCGTATCTGAAGGCGCTGGGCGAGCCTTACCCTATAGCGGCGCCAAACTACCCACTCTCAGCAAAGTCTTCGTAGCGGCCATGCTATGGCTGGATTTGCAGCCATACCAAAAGCGCGGCGCCGGCTGTTCGAAGCCGGCGCTGAAGTCCAGCCAAGCGAAGGCTTTGCTTGAGGAGTACTTCGCGAATCATACGAGAGATTTCACGGACAAGCAGAAAAAGCGTATGAAGGAGCGTCCGTACGCAGAAATGTGGAATGAAGTGAAGCGCTTGACGCTCCGCGACTGCGGCCTCCAGGTGGCCGTTGCAGAGCAGCATCGCGTGGCCATGCTGCCAGAACAGCCGGATACTCGCGCGCCCGAGCGTCAGGGTGCTTGGCGCGAGCGGGTGTTCTGCGTCGCTCCGTTCCTAGAGCAGAGCGAAGAATGGGAGGACCCGGCGGCTCGCGAGGCCAAGAGGGCGCGCTACGTGCAAGGCGCCATGCATGAGCAGAGCATGGGAAGGTCGGGAAACCCGTTGCACGAAGTTGCGCTCCCCGAAGACGCAGGCTCCCTGTCCTGCCGGGACGAGAGCACGCGGGCGGAGTGGGACGCACTGAATCAGTACGTTTCTCTCATGCAGCCACTGGCTATCAACCCCGAAGCGGTGGCCGACGTGCCCGCAGCCACGCGCAAGTACTTGCTGAAGCCTTCTCAAGGCGGACTGTCGCAGGTTGAAGCGGCGGCCTTGGCCAGGCAGGACCGCAACGTCGCCGCGTCGGTTGCGCTCGAGGACTTGGATCCCACCCAGCGATCCTTCGCCGATCACCTATGTGCCTGGGCCGAAGCATATCGTGCCCAGCAGGAGCTTTTCGAGCAAAACCTACCGTCGCTTGCCGCTTCGGGCGGCGCCGGTCAGCTGCCTGGCTCGCTGGCGGCCTTGAGTGCACCCGCGCTCTTGCTAGGCACGGCGGGCACTGGCAAAACCACCACGATGCAAGTGGCCAACGACGCCCTGGAGCGATCTGGCCTGGCCGGGCGCGTCGTGCGCATGGCATACACTGGCGTCGCAGCGTCCAACATGGGCACGGGCAGCCGCACCATCATGTCCTTGCTGCGACTGAATAGTCGCAATGCGTTTTTCGGCCAGCTGGCGCCGCTCAGTGAGGACGACATGCGCGAGCTGGATGCCGAGCTCGGGCGCATGGCCGTGCTGGAGATCGACGAGCTCTCCATGGTAGAAAAGCTCGTGTTGGCCTATATACACCGCAGGCTTTGCGAGTGGCGGTACGCTGTGTACCACCCGCAGCACTGCGACGGCCGCCAGTGCCGCTGCGGCGCCCGTATGCCTTTTGGAGGCGTTAAGGTCGTGTTGGC